CAGCTTCTGTACAGTGAAGGAAACAATCAGCAAAACTAAAAGGCAACCGACAGAATGGGAGAAGATATTTGCAAATGACATATCACAAAAAGGGTCAGTTTATCTGTAAAGAACTTATCAAACTCAACATGCAAAAAACAATCGAGTGAAGAAATGGGCAAAAGACATGAATACATACTTCTTCAAAGAAGACATCCAGATGGCCAACCAACACATGAAAAAAATGCTCTACATCACTCATCATCCGGGAAATACAAATCAAAACCACAATGAGATACCACCTCACACCTATCAGAATGGCTAAAATTAAGAACTCAGGCATCAACAGATGTTGGTGAGGATGCGGAGAAAGAGGATCTCTTCTGCACTGCTGGTGGGGATGCAACCTGGTGCAGCCACGCTAGCAAACAATGTAGAAGAGCCTCAAAATATTAAAAATAGAACTACCCTATGACCCAGCAATTGCACTCCTAGATATTTATCCAAGGGATACTGGTATGGTGTTTCAAAGGGGCACATGCATGGGGCGCCTGGGTGGCTTAGTCGGTTAAGCATCCGACTTTCGCTTAGGTCATGATCTCGCGGTTCGTGGGTTCGAGCCCCGCGTCGGGCTCTGTGCTGACTGCCAGCTCAGAGCCTGGAGCCTGTTTCAGTCTGTGACTCCCTCTCTCTCTGACCCTCCCCTGCTCACGCTGTCTCTCTCTCTCTCTCTCTCCTAGAAATAAAACATTAAAAAAAAAAATTACTTTAAAAAAAAAAAACAAAAAACCAAAGGGGCACATGTTTATACCAGTACTGTTGACAACAGCTAAAATATGAAAAGAGCCCAAATGTCCACCTACAGATTAATGGATAAAGAAGATGTGGTGTGTATATAAATGTGTATATACACACACATATTCATACATAGAATAGAGTATTACTCAGCAATCAAAAAGAATGAAATCTTGCCATTTGTAATTTCGTGGATGGAAACAGAGGATATTATGTTAAGTGAAATTAGTCAGAGAAAAACAAATATATGACTTCACTCCTATGAGGATTTTAAGATATAAAACAGATGAACATAAAGGAAGGGGAGCAAAAATAATATAAAAACAAGGAAGAGGGAAAAACAAGAGACTTTTAAATATAGAGAACAAACAGAGAGCGGTGGAGGGGCTGGGGGTAGGGGGATGGGCTAAATGAGTAAGGGGCTTAAGGAAGAGACTTATTGGGATGAACACTGGGTATTATACATAGGGGATGAATCACTGGAATCTACTCCTGAAATCATTATAGCACTATATGCTAATTAACTTGGATGTAAATTAACAAATTAATTAATTAATTAAAGACACATTTTTTTTTTCTAGAGGCTCCTGGGTGGCTCAATCAGTTAAACGTCTGACTCCTGATTACAGCTCAGGTCATGATCTCATGGTTCATGGGTTCAAACCCCCAAGTTTGGGATTCTCTCTCTCTGCCCCTCCCTCTCTTTCTCTCTCTCTCTTACACACACACACACACACACACACACACACACACACACAGTCTTTCTCTCTCTCTCAAAATAAACTTTAAAATACAAATAACAAAATTTTCTAATATTTATATTTAAAAGGTAAAAAGAAACAGGTGAAGTTCATTTTAGTATCTTTTATTTAATCCAATATATCAAAAAATTATCATTCTAACATGAAAACAAAATTACTAATGAGATCTTTTACTTTTTTTTCTAAAACTAAGCCTTCAAAATCCAGGGTATATTTTCAACTTATAGCATAGTTCAATTCAAATTAATCATATTTCAAGTGCTCATTAGCTACATGTGGCTAGTGACTACCACATTGGATGGAGTGGTTCCAGAGAAACTTAATGCATTCCACTGAAAAAGAGAAGAAACAACCTTCCAAAGGGTATCTGGGTGGTTCTGCTGGCTAAGTGTCCAGCTCTTGATTTCAGCTCAGGTCATGATCTCACAGTTCGGGAGTTCCAACCCCATGTCGGGCTCTGAGCTGAGAGCATGGAGCCTGCTTGAGATTCTCTCTCCTCCCCCCAGCCTCTGCCCCTCCCCAGCTTATGCTTTCTCTCTCTCTCAAAATAAAAAACTATATATAAAAATGAAGAGATAATGTTTCAATCAACACTTATTTCTAATGCTTCAAATCAATGAGGAAAAAAATGTATTCATCAATAAGTAACTATTGAGATGACTGGTATACTACCAGGAAAAATACAACTGGATCCCTTCCTGTGTCTTACTCCAATATAAAGTCCAGACAGAAATGAAAAGTCAATCGAAAAAAGTAAAATATATTCAAAGGCCAGTAAAGAGAAAAGAATGCCCAAAAATGTGTGGGGATATTATTTTAATCATCAGATTGGCAAAAACTGAAAAAGAGTCATTTCCTCAGACTCAATAAAATGGAGTTTAACAAATCAGATAATACTGGTGGGAACATAAACATATATGACTTTTTGTTTTAATGTTTATTTATTTTTGAGAGAGAGAGACAGACAGAGCACGAGCAGAAGAGGGGCAGAGAGAAAGGGAGACACAGAATCCAAAGCAGGCTCCAGGCTTTGAGCTGTCAGCACAGGGCCCAATGCAGGGCTCAAACCCAACAACAGCAAGTTCACGACCTGAGCCAAAGTCAGACACTTAACCAACTGAGCCATCCACGTGTCCCCATATATGACTTTTCTTAAGAGCAGCTTTGTGATCTGTATAAAAAATATGTACCTCACTTCTGGAAATTCACCCTAAGAGGTAATGATAAAGGGCAAAAAGATGAAGGCATAAGGACAGTCACTGAAGTGTGATCCATGAGATGAAACAGTTGGAAGTAACTGAAGTGTCCATTGCTAGGATGGATTAAATTGAAAGCAATCAGTAAGATAATATAGGTCTCTTACAGAAAGATGTTGATATTGCTGAGGGGAGAAGCAGGTTATTAAACAGCATGAATAGTGTGATCCCATTTATGTAAATGCAAAATCTCATATAAATGTTTATGTTCATAAAGAAACAACAGAAGGGTATTTAATAAAATGTATACAGTGATTATATCTACGTCTGATAGATGTAGATTTGGATAATTTTCTTCAGATATGACTATACAGGTTTATCTTTTTATTTATATTTGAGAGAGAGAGAAAGAGAGCAGGGAAAGGGCAGAGAGGGAGGGAGACAGAGGATCTAAAGTGGGTTCCGTACTAAGAGTGGAGAGCCCCACGTGGGGCTTGGACTTACGAACTGAGAGATCACGACCAGAGCCGAAGTCGGACACTTAACAGATTGAACCAGCCAGGTGCCCCATCTTCATTTTTTATGATGATCAGATTACCTGACACCTTTTATACTAGAGGTATTTTTATAACCTCCTCAGTGTGATGATTTTTTTTTCCCACTAGTACTGTTAGAAATATCTTTTATACATGTAATTTTAGATAGTGTGATACATGCACCACAGCGTAGTGAACACATTCTTTCACTGAGATAACACAGTCTTGCTGCTCACAGGCAACTAGTACTCTTAGGAATATTTTTTTATACAGGTGACTTTACAGAGCATATTACCTGTGGCACAGTGTGGTGAACTCATCCGTTTACTGAAATAACACTACTTTGATTCAAGGAATTATTAGCACTCTTAGAAACGTGTTTTAAACATGTGTCTTTACACAGGGTTAAACATGTACCACAAAGTGGTGAATAGATTCCTTCAATGGAATAATCAGCTTGTGATTTTTATCTTTTCGGCTTACTATAGAACTTATTTTTTTAACTTTAAAAATTCTTGAAGAGAATTAAAAAGGAAATGTTAAAAGTAAACAGCCCTATATTTAGTGAGTAACTTATTTTCACAGGTTGTTGAGAGAATGAGGAGAAATATAGGTGGCAAAGAAACCTAATGAACCAGACATAAGGGGAAGCTACCCACCTTTCCCAGGTTAAGCTATAATTTCATTCCTGTACAAAGCACAGGAAAGAGAAGTATTTTGACCCATCTTCTTGTGGGAGTAATGTTACACAATATTTCATATCAAAAAAACAATTCTTTGGAGAAGAAACCAATCTACAGAATAACACATGAAGAAAACTTCCTTTTTAACCCCAAACACTCTTCTATATAATTCTAGGAATTTACTAGAGTTAATATCACTAGAAAAGTTCCCTGAATTCTGCAGAAATTACAGACTGTGAACAAAGTAATATATTTTCAGGTCTTGGTAAATTACCAAAAAAGCCTACCAAAAATAAGGGAAGGGTTCATGTGAAGAGTTCTTTGCTAGTTTGCCCTCCACCCCTCAACAAACTAAGTCACTTAAAATACAGACATGAATAGGTGTGCCTGGGTGGCTCAGTCAGTTAAGCATCCAACTTCAGCTCAGGTCATAATCTCACATGAGATTGAGCCCGGTGTCAGACTCTGGGCTGACAGCTCAGAGCTTGGAGCCTGTTTCCAATTCTGTGTCTCCCTCTCTCTCTGCCCCTCCCCTGCTCGCGCTGCCTCTCAAAAACTAATAAACATTAAAAAGAATTTTTTTAATATAGACATGAATAAAGCTAATTTCATACAATGTCATTTTGCAGCCACTAGGTTTTCAAAGTTTGGGGCTTATAAGGCCTATAAAACCACAGGACATTGGGATACAAATAAAATTTGACTCTAAATAATCTTTTCCTTTCCAATCACTGACATTCCTCAAAATCCTAGATTTTTTCTCCTCCCAAATAATGAAAACTTAGGACAAGTCTCACTCACACAAGACTCACAGAATCTCACTGTCAATATAATAAATAGATGCCTTGAAAACAATCAGTGTGCTCCTGGGGGGAACAGTCTCAAAGTGGAAACAGTAAGACACGGAAAGACGATCAACATTAAAATATTTTCTTAATTAGGGGAAAAAAGCCAACTGCTATTTCAAGCATTAAAAAGCTATCATAATTTTATTGAACTGCATGCTAGCTCTCCAACAGGCAGGCGGTGGAGACATTTTAAGTGCATTACCTTTGGGAGGAAAATACGACTTGCTTTCAGCTTTGTGAGGCCAGTCTACAACGAGAGGTCCAAACCTGCGAAAGCTGGCAGTGATCTCATCTATAAAACAAGGAAGGAATATTAGCAAAGAGTAAAAAAAAAAAAAAAAAAATACTGCACACAGAATAGCATAAAGCATGCCTTTTTATTTAAAAAATGTTTTTGAGAGCTATTTCAAAAGCATTTTTACAGAAGTGAAACCTACTAAGTGAAATACAATTGTTTGCTGGGTACATTTGGTTATTCACTTTCAACCATGCAAAATGTGTTTCTAACTATAATTCATTGCTCTTCACTGCCAATAAATTTGATATAAAGAGTTTGGAGGAAAAAAATCTGACATTAGTTAAGGTGACTTGACATCAGTTAAAGTGACTTGACATCAGTCAAGTTAAAAAAAAAAGCCTCTAAAAATAGGAACGTTCTCTGTTTTTGGAAAAAAGGCAAAAGTATACGAAACATTTCAAATATGCTTCATTTATGTAAAATGATCTCTAAAATATCTAAGATTACTAATCTTAGGTTATGATTATTAGTAATCTAAGATTATGAATCTCTAATATTTTAGAAATAGACACAATTCTTGGGACACCTGGGTGGCTCAGTCGGTTAAGTGTCTGTCTTCAGCTCAGGTCATGATCTTACAGTTTGTGAGTTAGAGCCCCGCATCAGGCTCTCTGCTGTCAGCACAGGGCCTGCTTTAGATCCTTAGTGCCCATCTCTCTCTGTCCCTCTCCCACTGATTCTCTCTCAAAATAAATTTAAAAAAAAATAAATAAATAAAATTCTTTTGGTGAAGAGTAGGGGCAAAAAGTAGGTAATTCTATTTGGTGATAAAAGTTAAAACCAATGATCTATTTCTCTCATACTTACCTACAACACATCCTATAAAGAAAATGTTTCCAAAGTTATAATTCAATAAATTTACCTTTTCCTTCTGACTTCTGACTCAAAGAAGGTTATAACTTAGCCCGCACTCAAATTTAAGTTGCCACTCTCTCAGTCATGATCTAAACTTTGTCTTAAAAAAAATCCAATTGATAGATGAGATTAATTAACACCAGTATGAGAATTCTTTGGTAGAAAATGAGTCTCCAGCTCTGTACAACCTTAAATAAGTCTAAAATAAAATAATTTTTATTTTTAAAAAATATTAGAAGAAAAATTTTTTAATGTTTTCTTTCTTTCTGAGAGAGACACAGCGTGAGTAGGGGAGGGTCAGAGAGAGAGGGAAATACAGAATCTGAAGCACGCTCCAGGCTCTGAGCTGGGGCTCGAACGCACGAACTGTGAGATCATGACCTGAGCCGAAGTCAGACGCTTAACTGACTGAGCCACCCAGGTGCCCCCCCCCAAATTTTTTTTTTTTTAAGTTTATTTGAGAGAGTGAGAGAGAGGGTATGTGCACATGCACACAAGTGGTAGGGGGCAGAGAGAGAGAGAGGGAGAGAGAGAATCCCAACCAGTCTCTGTACTGTCAGCGCAGAGCCCCACATGGGTCTGGATCCCAAAAATCACAAGATTACCACCTGAGCCAAAATCAAGAGTCAGACGCCCAACCAAATGAGTCACCCAGGTGCTCCTAAAATAAAATTACTTTTAAAGACTATTCCTCTATCACCATGAAAAAGAAAATCATGACCAATTAGAGAAATGTCGTAGCTACAACAATGCTGACAAAGCAACTGTTTTAAAAATATTTTTATAGCAGATCCAAAGCCTACGAGAACTAGAGTTGTTTTTTCCCTTAGGTTGACTCTGTCACAATTTCATTTCATTCGTCCCTTCAACAAATATTTACTAACAACCTACTATGTGCTGATTGGCTTTAGGCATAAATGAAAACTCACTTTTGGGTTGACAGTACCTCAAAAATATTATTAAGAAAAATTCTAATTAGTCTTAATTCTTTTAAAGGCAAGGAGGGGGCTTTTTACTAATAGACCTCTATATTAAAATATGAGATGGGATGGTGTGAATATGAGCAAAAGTGCTGGGATCGGACTAATTCTGAACACCAGCTGCACCCTTAACTACATAAGCTCAGACAAATTGTCTCTCTCTGATCCTGAGTTTCTTTATCTATAAAATGGCATTGGTAGGATATGACTTACAGACAGCTATAAGGATTAAATGAGATAATGTAATGTGAAGTGCTTAGCACAATAATGGGCTTATAAAGAGTTTCATAAATATTTTCAATGATTATTTTCAAACATATCCTCAAAGGAATGACTAGGAAACAAGAAACTGTTGGGAGACTGCTATATATAAACACATTTGAACAGCAGACCTGAAGTGCACAATCTATTACTTGCCCATCTATCGAATACTTTCATCCTCTGAACACTAAAATATGAATGCCCTTAAGCTGCTTGGAGGGGAGAGCAGGGTCGAGTCACACAAAGCACAAACCTGGCCTTTATAAAGTCATTAATGAATGCATCATACCTTCATCGATATCAGGAGGAAGGCCTCCAACAAACACCTTTCTGGAGTAACGTTCTACTCGTTCTCCATTTTGACAGCGAGTGGGGGAACTTAAGCCAGAAGACAAGGATTGATCACCGTGACTGTCATCCAGGAAGGCATCTTCAAAGGGAAAAAGAGAAGACCGACCTGAAACAAATATGGAAGTTTCTACAGTTAAAATTATTTTCTTGAACAACAGATGTTTTATTAGAAGCCAAAGTACACAGTGAATCGTACCAAAAAAAAAAAAAATGTATCCTGAATTGTGACTTTTACAATAGAATACACTACTGTAGATTACAGGGTCTAGATAAAACCACCATTTTGTGTAAAGGTATGTATAGCACAGAAATAACTGGATTGATACTCAGGAAGAAGCATAAAAATTAGAGCTGTTTTTGCTGCTAAAAAATCACTGTCTTTTAATATAGTCCCTATCATTGCTAAGAGTCTTCAGCAGTTATTTTTCCTTTCCCCAGACATTTTTTAAGATAAATGGAAAAATAGTCTTTATTCACGTAGTTTTATTCGCTCAAAGGTTCAGACTGGCCCTGACAGCAGAGTGAATATTAAACTGATAACAAAGGCTGATAACTTCTCTGGTTGCAGGACTAAAGATGATGGAGTTTTCCCTGCCATTCAAGCTAATCCAATTTGGGAATAGGCATTTGCACTAATAACAAGTGGAACACATAAATGAGAATACATAAATTAAGATGTGGCAGTATAGATGTAGATGTGGTTATGACATCTTTACCCTACTAAACTAGGCAATATTTTATATCACTCAAAAAATTTTTATTGTTAACTCTATGGCCAAATAGAGTTTATACAGCAAAGGCCATTCCACATGACTACAAGAAAGATACCAGCAGTTAGACTCTGTTAATAAATGTAACACAATAATGCTACCCGGTATTACAAAATAAAACCTAAGTTTAAAGACAAATATATTTCCTGTCCCGGTATTACAAAATAAAACCTAAGTTTAAAGACAAATATATTTCCTGTTTGAGTCCGTGAGTTCCTGGTGTAACTTTCCATTAGGTTACACTCTAAAAATGAACTTCTTGAGCTCTCTAGCTTTTGAAAAGAGTTTCCCTCTAAAATAAATTCATGTACTCTTAAAAAAAAAAAAAAAGAACAGTATCTTCCCCATTTAGTCTATCCTGTCTATATTTCTCTGAAACCTAGGTTCTGCGTCACTACAGCCAACTCTCTAAAACAGAATATAAATAGTTTTATAAAAATACTGGACATTTATTTCTCTTACAAAAAAATAGCTACTAATATAACTCTGTTTATTTTATGAACAACCCAGGTGGTACAAGAAAGGCACTATTTTGATGTTGGGACTTAATAAATAAAAAGACCTAAGAATTTTTTGTTCAGCCCTTTCCAGATTAGCTACAAAGAAACAGAATAAAATTTGTCACCTCATGTCACCTAGCTTTCTTAGCCTGGCAGGAACAACAATAGGCAGTAAATTCTCATCTCTTGATATCTGTTTTGATCACTGGGGGTAAAAAAAATAGATTTGCAGGAACTACAGGCAAAATGACCTTCTCAAAGGCATCCAGAGATGTGCTCCCATAACTGTTAGGTTTGCTTTTCACATAGTCCACACTCAACTGTTAGGTTTGCTTTTCACATAGTCCACACTCAGTTATATGCTTGCTCCGTGGCAGGCACATACCCAAATCAGCATTTCCCACAGAATACTCCTATCCTTACCTCTTACCCTCAACACTAGTAACATGAGATGCTCAGAAAACAAACGCTGATGGGGGCAAGGAGGGGGGAGACAAATAAATAATACTGGAAAATACTGCACACCTTATGCTCTTTCAAGACATTCACAATCCACATTAGAATACAAAAGGTTGGGGAAAGTACAGCAGTAAAATAACTTAATCAGAATTACCTGGGTTTAAGATAAAGGAAACATTAAAATATATATAGCTCAGTGGAAAACACCTGAAGAAATATTTATCCATATTCTAGAATCACCAAGCAAATAAGATAGTTATCTATCTGAAAGTTCTTCACAAAGAAGTCTGGTGAGAGACAGGCAAATGCATAATTATAAAACAGAAATTAAGTACTAAGAGAAGAATTGACCAAGAGCGCAATTTACTGCCCTATGGAAGATGGTGTGGGGAGACCTTTAGAGTGATTTCATAGGATAACAACCTTGAACAGAATCTTGTGGGCTTCGGAATTTCTAAGGTAAAGAACAAGAATCCATAGAGAACAAACTTTCAAAACAACTTTGATCTTTCCCTCCAAACCAGGTCCTCTAGCAGTCCCTATAATTTTAACAGAAATGACTATTATCCACATCCAATTCAATCCAGAAATCCAGGAGTCCTCCTTGACATCTCCCTTTAATACTCCACATCTAATATCTCTTTCACTAAATCCTATCAATTCAAACTATGACATAATTCATCAATCAATTCGTCTTTCCCATCTTTAGTCCTAATGCCCTGGGAGTCCAGATCACCATCATCTCAGTCTAATGAGTCTATAACGCAGCCTGTTTAGTCTACTGATTTGTATCTTGAACTCCACAATGCCTTTTCCACAATACAGCCAAAGTCACCATTTTAAAATATTAGTCTGAATACATGACTGCACTCCTCATGTTTATCCTTAAAACCACTGGTGTTGGATAAAGTACAAAAACATCAGTGTCAATTGTGAGGCCTATGCCATTTCCTACATCATAGTTGCTGCCTCTCTCCCTCTGGTTCACCAATGTCCAATCACTTAAGGCTTCCTTTGAATTTCCTGATAATTCCTCCTTGCCTCCGGCACTAAGGACAAGGTGTTTCCCTGTTGCCCAAATAAATACTCTCTTCCCAACTCTCCAGTTTTCTAATTAATTCCCACTTAATCCTTAATCTCAGGTGAAAAGTCACCTCCTCAGGTGGAATCTTCCTGACCTTTTAGATTAGGTGAGGTTCCCTCTTCTATCCACTCATTGCACTTCTCCTAACACTTTTCCCAATTACCATTATACTATCGGGTGGGTTTTTATTTGGTATTTCATTCCCAACCCCATAAAATTGTAAGCTCTATTAGGACAGGGAACAATTTAATCTTGTTCACCACTGTATCTTCATGTCCTAATGAGGGCACATAAAAGGGATTCAGTAAGGGGCGCCTGGGTGGCTTAGTCGGTTAAGCGTCAGACTTTTGCTTAGGTCGTGATCTCGCGGTTCGTGGGTTTGAGCCCCGCGTCGGGCTCTGTGCTGACTGCCAGCTCAGGGCCTGGAGCCTATTTCAGAGTCTGTGTCTCCCTCTCTCTCTGACCCTCCCCTGCTCACGCTGTCTCTCTCTCTCTCTCTCCTAGAAATAAAAATATTAAAAAAAAAAAAAGGGATTCAGTAAATATTAAAAGTGAGACAGCATCCAGAAAAGGGTAACAGTATGTGCAAAGACACACTGCTGCAAGTATATGCTGGAACACAACACACAGGTGTGAGATGGCAAGAGATGGAACCACGTCCTAGGAAATGAAGATCTTTTCTTTTGCTTCTATTTGTTCAAATGTTATAGTCTATACTCTGTATTACAAAAGCAATAGGAAATTTCCCCATTTTCCAAATTTAATATTTCATTCTAATACTACCTTTTTTTTTTTTTAACTTCAATCATTTCCTGTAGACTGATATTCCCATCTAATCATCTTCCATCCTGTCAAAAATGACTTTTCTGAGATGCCTGGGGGCCATGTCATTCCCTCTACCCCACAATCCACAATAGCCACTATCACCCTTACCATCAATTTGCACCTGAAAAAGAGGGGATGGGGAAAAAAAAAAGAAAAAAAGAGAGGGGATGGGACGAGAGTCTTAAGAAATTTGGGACCGTCCAGCTGAGAGATAAGGAAATCATGAACAAGAGCAGTGAAGGAGACAAAGTAGATATTCAAAACATTCTGGAAAAAAGAGACCTTTCTTTGTGTATGGCCAACATAACCACAGCTTCCTATAATATTTTGGCAAAAATACTAAGAGCAAGAACTAATTGTAAAAATTTGGACTATGTTAAAAATTGGTTAGGAAACTTGCCAAGGTTTTAAAACCAAACCTCTGTCTTAGTATATAGAGTACCATAGACTTTAGTGATAAAGTTGCCCTTGGAAATAAAACTGCTAAGAATTCACATGTATGTGATATTCTCTGTGGATAAGAACTAAGAATATAGGTCTCAAAGCCCAATCCCCAGATCTATTTAATCTGAATGCATGGGGTTCAAATTTGAAAGTCTGCACTTTTAACAAATTTCCCCAGTGATCCCTACACTCAAGTTTAAGAACAACTGAAATGGAGATGAACTGTCTGTAGCAGGCATCCACTTGAAAGTGATATTGTATCAAGTATATGGAGCCTTGGGAAACATCCAAATTCAGTCAAGTTAAAGAAAGTACATTCTCAGGAACAGAATGTAAAATCTATAATCTAGTCAACTTACTGTAACATGACTGCCTCAAGTGCTGATGGAACAAATCGTCAGTCTGCAGGAAGCATTTAAAAGACAGACCAAAAGAAGTTAAGAGGATTTTATCATATTGGTAGGATTACTCCTCTGTGGGACAGAATGGTTCATTTGATGTTTCCATAACCTGAAAACCAGCTATTTCCCTATGCTCTAATTATAAGTTCCTGAAGGACTGTTCTATTAATTAATTTAGTACCTTGCTACTGTGAAGAGGCACCACTGTGACTCTTAAACTAGTAGACAAATAATCAGCCACTGAAATAGTATTTCTGTTACATTCATCTCCTTAAGTTAAAATATTAGTATTCTTATTTGTCCAGGGTTCCTCATGAGGTTAGTATTTGTGCAATCATTTGGCTGGCAAAAATCCATTCCCCCCTAAGACGAATCATCCCTGGGAAGACGAGTAAAATTTTAGTTTCCGGATATGTGTTACTAGAAACTGAAACTTTAAGAGGTTACACCCAAATCATATCCCTTGAGAAGCCCTACTTCACTAACTAGCATCTCTCTGACATTATTTTTCTTTAATATAAAACATTGCCCAAGACCAAAACATTTTAAGCAAGCCATGTTCTCCAAAATTATGTTTTTATGTATCTAGCGTGTAAGTCTGCTTTAGATTCTGATACACCCAG